GAGGAGACCCAGACCCAGGACCAGCCCATGGAGGAGGAGGAGGTGGAGACCTTCGCCTTCCAGGCGGAGATCGCGCAGCTCATGTCCCTGATCATCAACACCTTTTACTCGAACAAAGAAATCTTCCTGCGGGAGTTGATTTCCAACTCGTCCGATGTGAGTATTTCGGGCGGCGTGCGGGTGGGGGTTGGCTTCGGCTCGGCCCGGGGCCCTGTGCTTGATGGTGTGTCACTCTTCCAGGCTTTGGACAAAATCCGGTACGAAAGCCTGACCGACCCCAGTAAGCTCGACTCCGGCAAGGAGCTGCACATCAACCTCATTCCGAACAAGCAAGATCGCACCCTCACCATCGTGGACACTGGGATTGGGATGACCAAGGCCGACCTGATCAATAACCTCGGCACCATAGCCAAGTCGGGCACCAAGGCCTTCATGGAGGCTTTGCAGGCAGGCGCCGACATCTCCATGATTGGCCAGTTCGGTGTGGGTTTCTACTCCGCTTACCTGGTTGCTGAGAAAGTGACTGTGATCACCAAGCATAACAATGACGAGCAGTACACCTGGGAGTCCTCAGCAGGAGGGTCCTTCACTGTGAGGACGGATGCGGGTAGGCACGTGGCGCGCACGGTGGTTGGTCACGTGGGCTGGGTGGTGCTGGCGGCACCCTTGAAAGTGCTGTGGAGTTTTGTTGGTGAGGAACTCCCCCGGCTTACCGTAGGGGTTCTGGGTGTGGCCAAGCTGAATTGTTTGCATTTATCCTAATCTTTACAAGATCGTTGAGATTCAAATTCAGTTTCCTGGACTTTTTCAGGCGAACCTATGGGCCGAGGAACAAAGGTTATCTTGCATCTGAAAGAAGACCAAACTGAGTACTTGGAAGAAAGAAGAATAAAAGAGATTGTGAAGAAGCATTCACAGTTCATTGGTTATCCCATTACTCTTTTTGTAAGTGTTGCTGTGAAGTGAATTCCTGTATGCAGGTGACAGTGAGGGGACTGTACTGGGGCTTTCTGGAGGCCTACTTTTGAGGCAAGGGTTTGAGGGGGGCCTTTAGCACTGAGGCACATTTCCAGTCCTTATTTTGCCAAGTTGTAAAATAGCTTCAGCTGGGCTCCTCCTGCCTCAGCCTTTCAAGACTGCTGAGATATCTGCAACTCTGCACCTAGCTCCAGCTTGTTTAGGAGACTAATCTGAAACCAGCTTGGAAGCTAAGCACTACAAGGCAGATCTGTCTGAGGTAGTTTCAAAAACATGTAACACTGGTTTTGTGTTTTAGTGCTTTTTTAGTCTAGTTAATGCCATTGGGTGCAAACCCCTCTTCAGTCTATCTGTAATATTAAAGTCTTGTTGGTTGTGGTACTCCCCTCCCAGTAAATGTAAGAACTCTTTTATTTTTGAGACAGGGTCCTGCCTTGAGCTGACTTTGCAGCCCAGGCCAGTCTCGAACTCCCAGTGATCCTCTTGCCTCAGCCTCCAAAGTGCTTGTCTTGATTTTTTTTTTAGGCTGCTCTTGAACTTGTTCTGCCTCAGCTTCCCGGGAGCCCTGGGAGTCACAAATGCAGTGACTTTCTATCTTTTAGGTGGAGAAGGAACGAGATAAAGAAGTGAGTGATGATGAGGCTGAAGAAAAGGAGGACAAAGAGGAAGACAAAGAAAAAGAAGAAAAGGAGTCTGATGACAAGCCTGAAATAGAAGATGTTGGGTCTGATGAAGAAGAGGAAGAAAAGAAGGATGGTGACAAGAAGAAGAAGAAGAAAATTAAGGAGAAGTATATTGACCAAGAAG